CCTTCCGGGAACGATACCTTCTAGAAACTCAACCTTTCAGAAAGTATACCTTTCCGGGTACCATACCTTCCGTAAAATATAGTTTTTGAGAGCTACAACTTTCATTGCTGATTTTTGTAAGAAACTGGAATCTTAGACGCTGCCAGCATGTCTTAGCTCCAAGAAATGCTGCTGTTTGTATAACTGTTTTCTTCCATCTTCAAATTTTCGCTGTTTTTTATTTTTTCGCCGCACAACCAAAAATATCTTAAACATTTAAACAGTTTCAATTTTATTCTTTTCTAGCCCTAGTCAACACAAGACACAAACCTGCAGGTTGGTATCAGTCAACTCTACTGGTCGGTATCGGTCGAAGACAGATGTAACTCTACTGGTCGGTATCGGTCGAAGACAGATGTAGCTCTACTGGTCGGTATCTGTCAAAGACATATGTAACTCTACTGGTCGGTATCGGTCGAAGACAGATGTAACTCTACTGGTCGGTATCTGTCAAAAACAGATGTAGCTCTACTGGTCGGTATCGGTCGAAGACAGATGTAACTCTACTGGTCGGTATCGGTCGAAGACAGATGTAGCTCTACTGGTCGGTATCTGTCAAAGACATATGTAACTCTACTGGTCGGTATCGGTCGAAGACAGATGTAACTCTACTGGTCGGTATCGGTCGAAGACAGATGTAACTCTACTGGTCGGTATCGGTCGAAGACAGATGTAACTCTACTGGTCGGTATCGGTCGAAGACAGATGTAACTCTACTGGTCGGTATCGGTCGAAGACAGATGTAACTCTACTGGTCGGTATCGGTCGAAGACAGATGTAACTCTACTGGTCGGTATCTGTCAAAAACAGATGTAGCTCTACTGGTCGGTATCGGTCGAAGACAGATGTAACTCTACTGGGCGGTATCGTTCGAAGACAGTTGTAGCTCTTCTGGTCGGTATCGGTCAAAGACAGATGTAACTCTACTGGTAGGTGTCGGTCAAAGACAGATGTAACTCTACTGGTAGGTGTCGGTCAAAGACAGGTGTAGCTCTACTGGTCGGTATCGGTCGAAGACAGATGTAGCTTTTCTGGTCGGTATCGGTCAAAGACAGATGTAGCTCTACTGGTCGGTATCGTTCAAAGACAGATGTAGCTCTACTGGTCGGTATCGGTCGAAGACAGATGTAGCTCTACTGGTCGGTATCGGTCAAAGACAGATGTAACTCTACTGGTAGGTGTCGGTCAAAGACAGATGTAGCTCTACTGGTCGGTATTGGTCAAAGACAGATGTAGCTCTACTGGTCGGTATCGGTCAAAGACAGATGTAACTCTACTGGTCGGTATCGGTCAAAGACAGATGTAGCTCTACTGGTCGGTATTGGTCGAAGACAGATGTAGCTCTACTGGTCGGTTTCGTTCGAAGACAGATGTAGCTCTACTGGTCGGTATCGGTCAAAGACAGATGTAGCTCTACTGGTCGGTATCGTTCGAAGACAGATGTAGCTCTACTGGTCGGTATCGGTCAAAAACAGATGTTGCTCTACTGGTCGGTATCGGTCAAAAACAGATGTAGCTCTACTGGTCGGTATCGTTCGAAGACAGATGTAGCTCTACTGGTCGGTACCGGTCAAAGACAGATGTAGCTCTACTGGTCGGTATCGGTCAAAGACAGATGTAGCTCTACTGGTCGGTACCGGTCGAAGACAGATGTAGCTCTACTGGTCGGTATCGGTCAAAGACAGATGTAGCTCTACTGGTCGGTATCGGTCAAAACAGATGTAGCTCTACTGGTCGGTATCGGTCAAAAGACAGATGTAGCTCTACTGGTCGGTATCGGTCAAAGACAGATGTAGCTCTACTGGTCGGTACCGGTCAAAGAAGGATGTAGCTCTACTGGTCGGTACCGGTCAAAGAAGGATGTAGCTCTACTGGTCGGTATCGGTCAAAGACAGATGTAGCTCTACTGGTCGGTACCGGTCAAAGAAGGATGTAGCTCTACTGGTCGGTACCGGTCAAAGAAGGATGTAGCTCTACTGGTCGGTACCGGTCAAAGAAGGATGTAGCTCTACTGGTCGGTATCGGTCAAAGACAGATGTAGCTCTACTGGTCGGTACCGGTCAAAGAAGGATGTAGCTCTACTGGTCGGTATCGGTCAAAGACAGATGTAGCTCTACTGGTCGGTACCGGTCAAAGAAGGATGTAGCTCTACTGGTCGGTATCGGTCAAAGAAGGATGTAACCAGGCTTGCAGAGACGAATGAGAAAATCAAACATTCACTGACCTGACGTGATCTCTACAGTCCTCCTGTAGCTGCCACTGCCGCCGCCACCGCTGCCCACGATACCCGCAAGACTACTGGAGTGGCCAATGAGGAATTCCTCGGGTGGATGCTGGACTTGTAGTGAAAGTCGTCGTCTCCTCCGTCGTTGAGGGCTACAGTGCCACTGCTCCCTCCTACCACGTTGGAGGCGCTGGAGGAGGTGATGACAGTGCGTTTCTCTAAGGTCGTCTGCGACATCTTTCAAGATTGGTGGGTATTCTGAAGGAATCAGAAAGATAACAAGACATGAGTATCCCAGATTGATTTCAAAGGACGAAGATCTTTACAGGATGTACAAGAAATCATATTTAATGTCTGGCGCACACTGACATGAGCACTGCGTGAAACGTTTCAGGTGTCATTGTCTGGCACGCACTGACATGAACACTTTGTGAAAAGTTTCAGGTATCACTGTCTGGCACGCACTGACATAAGCACTGTGTGAAAGGTTTCAGGTATCATTGTCTTGCACGCACTGGCATGACCACTGTGTGGAAGGTTTCAGGTGTCATTGTCTGGCGCACACTTAGATTAGTATTGTGTGAAAGGTTTCAAGTGTTATTGTCTGGCACGCACTGGCATAAACATTTGTGTGAAAAGTTTCAGGTATCACTGTCTTGCACGCGGTGTAAAAGGTTGCAGGTCTCGGAGAGTGTCAAATTTATATCAGCTCGCTGAATAATTAGTTGTCTGAGACATTCTTGCGCCTGATGTCTGCACTTGTGCTCATGTCTTCCTCCTTTTGAAATTCAATTCCGTTGTTGAATCTTACCCTAGTTCCAGATCAATCTACCTTAAACACTTATCATTCCCCCCAGACCGCTTTTCTGTCTCATTCTTGTACCTTTCCGGGTTTGTTTCGTAATTACACCATGATTTCAGGACAAAACTTGTTATGATTCATACTTGCAATAAATATTATATCAAAGTTAAAACAGTCACTGCGAAGGTCATGGTAGCAGGGAGGCGATTACCGGCACCTGGCAACACACAGAAGCCGAGGGCTGTCAAAACCATACTGGACTTAGTTCAATGTTACAGGTTCAAAGTGCACTGACTTGCCCAATACAGGCGACAGAGAGGGGGGAGGAGGGTGGGAGGGAGAGCTAGGACATGAACAGCCCTATCCATGCACAGACCTATCCATGCACAGACCTATTCATGCACAGACCAATCCATGCACAGACCTATCCATGCACAGACTTATCCATGCACAGACCTATCCATGCACAGACCTATCCATGCACAGACCTATCCATACACAGACCTATCCATGCACAGACCTATCCATGCACAGACCTATCCATACACAGACCTATCCATGCACAGACCTATCCATACACAGACCTATCCATGCACAGACCTATCCTTACACAGACCTATCCATGCACAGACCTATCCTTACACAGACCTATCCATACACAGACCTATCCTTACACAGACCTATCCATACACAGACCTATCCTTACACAGACCTATCCATGCACAGACCTATCCTTGCACAGACCTATCCATACACAGACCTATCCATACACAGACCTATCCATGCACAGACCTATCCTTACACAGACCTATCCATACACAGACCTATCCATACACAGACCTATCCATACACAGACCTACAACTGCGGCTTAGAATCAATGACAGTTTCAACGCCACCTACAGGATGACATACTCGATGATGATGATGATGATGATGATGATGATGATGATGATGATGATGATGATGATGATGATGATGATGATGATAATGATAATGATGATGATGATGATGCTGATGATGATGATGATGATGATGATGAGGGTGGGGGAGGGGGGGTGGGTTGCTGTGTGAAACAGGTACACTACAAACCCACAAAACGCAAGGCTAAGATGAGCAAGGTCAGCTACAGATAGTTGCATCCATCAAACAAACAAAGCAGTATGACCTGACAGAAGACATGAATGGCTGAACAATCTTCAAGTCGAAAGGAGAAATAAAAAGAAAAGTAAAAGTAAAACTGACAAGAACGATTTACTGGAAAAGATCAATAACTAATGAGGGTATAAATGTTTGAGGGATTGGTAAAAGTGGACTAGCCCAAGCTAGAGCTCATCTAGCACTTGATGAAATGCATTCTGTGAAATACACACACACATATACAAACACACACACAGACACACACACAGACACACACACAGACACACACACAGACACACACACACACAGACACACACATACAGACACACACAGACACACACAGACACACACAGACACACACACAGAGAGAGAGACACAGACATACACAGACACACACACACACACACACAGACACACACAGACACACACAGACACACATACACACACACAGACACACAAACGAGCACACACAGACACACACAGACACACACAGACACACACAGACACACACACAGACACACACAGACACACACAGACATACACAGACACACACACAGACACACACAGACACACACAGACACACATACACACACACAGACACACAAACGAGCACACACAGACACACACACAGACACACACAGACACACACAGACACACACACAGACACACACACAGACACACACAGACACACACAGACACACACACAGACACACATACAGACACACACAGACACACACACAGACACACACACAGACACACACACAGACACACACAGATACACACAGAGAACACACACACACACACACACACACAGAGACACACACAGACACACAGACACACACAAACAGACACTCAGGGATAGAGACGTGGTTAGACCAGCTGAGAGCTCAGACGTCACAAGAAGTGTTTGAATCTGAATGAAGCAAATGTCTTTAAGAAAGTATGTGCTGCTCTAGAGGAGCGAAATCAAGGGGAGGGGTAGAACGAAGAAACAGAAGAATGAAGACAAGAAACTCACTGCTAGCTGCCGTGATGCAACTATTGAACAGACGGAGAAAGAAAGGCATGACTGTACCTGAAGAAACCGCGGTAGAGCAAAGAGAGGTGCATGCAAAATTGTGAATAGAAGTATGAACTTAATTTGTGTATGGGATTTCCCACACTGGACACACACACACTAGTGATCAATCAGTGTGTGGTGTCTATCCCTTGTTTCGGTAATCTGGTAATCCTAGTTTCAGCTTCATAGCAAGCGGGTCACCCCATAGTTGCTCCGCTCCTGTGCCAACGGAAAAACACACGTAGCTCTCAGTGTCACGCCATGCACTCAACTCAGAAGCTGGGCGACGAAACTAAATCCTTTCAGTCTTCAAATGGAGCAAAAATGCAACGGCCACCGTCTGGCAGAAAAAAAAAATTTGCCACGGCTAAAGAGAAAAAAAAAATAGGTGGCCATGCCTAGCGTCCATTTTGACCGGAAGCATTATATGAGGGTTAATAAACGGTCACCACAGCAGTACCCTCATTATTAGCTGGGGAAGGGACTTGGGACATTACATCCACCAGCAGGCGTCGCCCCTAAAACGACCTACCTGTCCTCATTAACGACTGTTCACCCAACAGCCATGCAGTTCTTTGGCACGAAGGAGACACCTTGAACTTGGGTTTCGGACTGCCGACTCCCTACAAAGATGTTATTTTATGTTTTGTTATCACAATTGATGTCACTGCCACATTGGGCATACCCATACGTGCTCAGTTCTCTGAAGCAGCAGCCACTCCAAAGTACTTCTACTCATTGTCCCCATGAGAAGCTGGTTATATCGTCTCCTATCTCGGCCTCGAAGACGGCAAAGACGTGCATCACCATGCTTAACTCCCATGTCACACAATCGTGTTAGTGTCAGAGATTTTTCATTCTCCACTAGCGTCGTACTGCTCTGTCCATACTTTTTTTCCCGCAATCATTAGTGCAGTTCTTGCCAGTTGGTCCGCTCGCTCATTTCCCATCACGCCCACATGACCCGGTGTGTAGATCCTTGTTTCTATATCTATGTGTGCCAGGCAGTGCATGAACCACTGTTTATCATATTAGCTACACCATTGTCTGAATGAGTACAGCTGGTGTGAGTAGAAAGTGTGATACAAGATAACAGAAAGGTAATCATGAGAGGGCAAGAGATGCTTTGGGAAACACCGTGGCCAAAGAAAGTATCAGTGAACGAAGACGCAGAGGTGGCAGGCAAAATGTGTATGTTGCACATACTTAAGGTGACACCGCCCATCCAAATGTGTCAAGAGGCTGGAGCTACGTCCCTGTCCAAGCAAATGCTAGTGTCTCAACTCTGACTCTACCGGCTCCGAAACGCCGTTCTTCAAGCTCAGTCCTGTAGTGGAAGTGTGGCGATGATGGGGGAATGGGTGAAGCTAGAACCCGATGTCTGGCAGGAACTTCCTGTTTGTCTCAAGTACTGTGGCTGATTCTGTCTATGACAGGACAACCATGACCTCACATGTCAGTTTACTGCAGTTGGTGCTAATCATTGATCGCTTTCATCATCTCTACGGATAATTATATTAGTGCGCAGTCTCCCCATATAGATCACACACAGGACAATCCCAGCACAGTGCATGAGGACCAATATACCGGCATTACAAAGACTTTATTCTTTCTACCGTTAATTTAGGTTGAATCGGGACAGCCGCTTATGTAACCTGCTCTCTCAAATGTAAACTTTAACAAAATGTCTACATCCGTCGGATATGTTAGCCCTTGTCCGAGACGACTATGATCCGATCCACTGCCCAAGAACTGGCAGGGGCTTCAGTTTGTACACGTACATAAATTACACTGTAGACGGTGAGAGAAACCAGAGACTGCCTTTGAAACTTCCCACCAACTTGGCTCTACCAAATTTGTGTTTCATTATCTGCTCTGTTTTCATTGTTATCCTTGCCTGTCGATGCACGCAAGCCACAGCCGAATTGTTGGTTCTTGACTTGTCTCATTTACTGTTGTTTTCTTTACATCCTTCTTCTGTTTTTTTTCTGCTCCTCCTCTTTTCCCTAACTTGTTTTTTTTTTTCGTTTTTTTTTTCATGTCTGGTTTATCTTCTATATTGTACATAGACGTTTTTTTCTTTCGCCTAGAAACACTTAATTTTAATAGCGTTTCATTGTGTAATTATTTGTGTGCGTGATCGGTTATTTGTTGTTCATCAAACAGATTGTTGTTTCGTTCCTTTTTCATGAAGTCTCCTTTTGAAGTCTGCTAGAGTAAAACCTACCCGGCTGGTT